GAGGAAAGAAGCTTTGACAGAAACTGCTCCTCACTCTTATCTTTCTTCTGGATGGAACTGTGTTTTCTCCTGCAACCCAGAGCCCTAAGACCACTGTATGGGATTTGTGAGAAGTTAGTTTGCTTTGAGTTCCTGGGAGATAGAAACAACACTCCTGACTGCTAATTAAGGGGTTAGCTCTTCAAGTCACCCCAGTTATGCACTGGAAGAAAGGTCTACTTATAATAGTCAGCCACTTAAAATCTTATGGAGTGCAGTTCTATTCTGACAACATGAATGTTGGAGTTGTCTCCACAGTATGTTTGGGTATTTTATTGGTGAATAAGAAAGATTGGCAGAAGCAGCTGAAATGGCATCTATCCAGTGAACAGCAGGGTTTTCACTATGAAAAATCAAGGTTGAAGATACAATGTTCTCAGAATGCAATTTCTCTGGATTCCTTCCCTTCTGTGTACCATAATACTGAGAGTCTCATCATAAAGAAGACAGTGCTGAAAGTCATTCTATGTCCTTACAGAAACTCTCAAACCCTGCTTGGAGATCATCAATATACCACTCATTGGTTTCACTATTCTTTTTTTTTTTAAATAATAATTTTTGTAGAATCATTACCATAAAAAACTGCAAAACATTTTTCAGATTGAAGATAGGAAGATTCCCTTCTGAATACCTTAAATGATTACCATATTTTAGTTACTCACTATTAGTACTATATTTTTACCTTGATTTCACTATTCTATACAGACTCAAATGAGATATACTGACATAGGGACTGTGGCAATGGGCTCAAGTATGTCAGAGATGATAAGGATGGCAGAGCGTTGTTTCACATCTTTTGGGCAGTTGCTAGGACAGGTTACGCCTTGAAGAGGAACCGCATGCTTGGAAAGGTGAAGGGACAGCGAAGGAGAGGAAGACCCACAATATATGGATGTACACATAGTGGGAATGGGTTTGAATGTGTCAGAGACTGCGAGAATGGCACAGAATAGGACAGGGTTCAGAGCTTTTGTTCATAGAGTTGCTATGAGTTATGCTCAATGGTATCTAACAAAAACAATAATTGGATATTTACAACCTCTCCTGTAGAAGCAAACATTGATGCCCTTTATCGCCATACCTATTGAATACTGTAGGGAGCTCTGGTAGCTTGGTGGTGAGGAACAGTGATGCTAATCCAAAGAAACGTGGTTCAAGTCCACCAGCTGCTCCACAGGGTAAAAATGGGCAATTTACTACACAGGTGTAATTTGCTTAAATTAAGTAAAATGGGTCATTTGTTCCACAGGAGAAAGTGGAGCAGTTGTGTAATTTATTGCCTCTGTAAACCCACAGGAGGTCATCCATGAGTTGGTTCTGACTAGACAGTACATAACAACAAGCCAATACTGTATTTGAAGTCCTAGCCAGAAGAAGAAAGCAAGGCAGGGAAATAAAAAGCATCTAAACTGCAAAGAGGAAGTAAACAAAAAAAAATCTCTATTTGCAGATGACATGATTCTATATATAAAAAATATGGAAGACTCAGCAAGAAAATTACTGGATCTACTTGACCAGTTAGGGTACACAGACTAAGGTGCGTCTGGTACAGGCCATGGTCTTTGCAATCACTTGTGATGCGTCAGAGAGTTGGACAATGACTAGGGAGGATAGAAGGAGAATTGATGCCTTTGAGCTTTGGTGTTGGAGAAGAGTGCTGAGGGTGCCATGGACTGCTAAGAAAACAAACACACTCATCCTGGAGAGGGTTAAACCGGGCTGCTCCTTGGAGGCAAGGATTCTGAGGCTTTATCTGACATACTTTGGTCATGTTGTAAGGAGGGACCGGTCCTTAGAGAGGGACATCATGCTTGGGAGGGTGGAGGACAGGCCCAGGAGGGGAAGGCCCTTTGAGAGATGGATTGATTCAGTGACTGGGGCAATTGGGATGAGTGTGTCAGAGACAATGAGATTGGCACAGGACAGAGTAGAGTTTAGAGTTGTACACAGGGTCGCTATGAGTCGCAAGTGTCTCGATGGCACATAACAAAAACAACAACAACTTGACCAGTTAAGCAAAATGGCAATATTTGTGTGTTGTCAAGTTGAGTCAGAACCAACTCACAGCTGACCCTCCAGTGTATTTTCAGACAGTTAACTGCAGGAAGAGAATGCCCATCTTTCTCTCATGAAGCAGCTGGTGGGTCTGAACCACATGTCTTTGAGCTGGCACTAAGTTACCAGAGCTCCCTCATACACTGATAGTGTGGCTGTAAAGTGGTGAACATGGAATGAAAGACAGTTCAGTCCCTCCTTAGAATATTAGGAATGGACATACCATTTGATCCAGCAGTCCCAACATAAAGTGTTTATCCCAACTAAGAGTTGCTATATGAACATCAATTTTTATTACAGTATTATTTATAATAATAAAGAGTTGGAAACAACCTAAGTATCTATCAGTAGACGAACGACTAAAGAAACTTATGGTAGATGCATCCAGTGAAGTATTATACAGATCTAATATAAAATTTAGGTATGAGACTGTCAGGAGAACAAACAGGTTCATCCTGGAGAGGGTAAAACCAGGTTGCTCCTTGGAGGCAAGGATTCTGAGGCATCTGACATACTTTGGGCATGTTGCAAAGAAGGACCAGTCCTTGGAGAGAGATACCATGCTTGGGAGGGTGGAGGGAACACACAAGAGAGGAAGACCCTTGATGAGATGGATTGAGTCAGTGACTGGAGTAGAGGGTAGGTGTGTCAGCGACAATAAGTTTGGCACAGGATAGAGCAGGTTTCTGAGCTATTGTATTATCGGGTCACTATGAGTTGCAAGCGACTTTACAGCACATCACAACAACAACAAACACTGAACCAGTACTCCAATCAGAGATATAAAATATGCAAACTGATTTTAGTAGAAAGCAGATAGAGAAACTCACCACAGACTCTGCAGAAGGCTGTGTAGCTCCATCTTTTTTCTGAAACAAATGTTAATTTGATGGTGTTAGGAAGGCACAGGTTTTTGAAAATATGTACTTCATGCTTATGAAGTGACAGTAAGTCAGTAACTAAGTGAAGATGTAGATTCCAAAACAATAAATAGTGACATAAATATAATTAACTTACATTCAAAAGTTGCCTATATTTTGGAGGAATTGTAACTTCTCTTTTACCCAACTCTTCTATGTGGGTGGAATCCATTGGATCCTAGAACAAAATCACACACAGATACTGTATCATTTATTAGTTGAGAAGCTTACATGTGTATGTTTTGTTTTGGGGTTTTTTTTGGGGGGGTTTCTATATGTGTATTCTGAAACCAAATACCATTATTAATTTATGAAGCTCATCAGATGAAATAGAAATCCTAATAAAAAAAAAAGATGAAATAGAAATCCTTAAGAAGCCAGTATTGAAGGAAAACCAAAACTAATTTCATACAAATGTTTTCCCCGTTATTTAATCAGTTCACCCCATTTGCAATGGTAGGAAATATGCAAAATATTGTACCAAAGTTGTATCCTACGTATGAGATATTTTGATTGAAAATGTTTTTATTATATAATTTTTCCAATATGTATATTAATTACTAGCAAAATGGATCTCTATAAATCCTAAATTCTAACTCTATCAGATTTAGAATTATTTTTTAATTCTCTGAAAAAGAAAAAAAAATCACAGATGCTTGAATGGCCCAGGCCACTTAAACTTGGATTATCTGTCTGTTGTTACTCAAGTTAGCTCAAGCGTTACCCCTACTCATTGACAGTGACTCGATTCCAACGTAGAGCCTCCATCAGATTTCTGCAGCTCTTGGTTTTTATAAGAGGAGATGGTTTATCTCTATCCCACAGTTGGAGAATTCCAACTGCCAACGTTTCTATCAGCAGCCTCATAGGTTATACCACCACAGCCCCTTCAAGTATTATCAGCATCTGCTTAATGCAATGCAACATTAACTGTCTCCAATTAAACAGCTTCATGTCTATAATTTAGGTAGATACAACACTGGAGCTTATCGCAATAGAGACAGAGGGGGGGAAAATATCCACATATAACTGGATAGCTGGACAACAATTCAAATTCAAGCTATTCTAGGGCCAAATGGATTAACTGTTAAGTCTTTGGCTTATCTTTTTATTTTTATTTGGTTTTTTTAAGAAAAAACCTACCAAAAGAACCTATCATTTTCCTACTCAGAATAGGAACAAAGTGACAGGAGGAAATCTCTAGAAATCAAAAGAAAGTCAAGTCATTGAGCTTAAATCTTGAGGACAGAAAATAAGTATTTGTAAAAAAAACAGCTGTATCTCAAGGCCATTTTCAATACAAATAATCAACAATCATTTGCTGAATCAATGTATTTACAGTAATTACTTCAGGACAAACTATTTAACCATCAATACTACATTTAAGTTGCTATTACTGACACTGATATTGTCTTTTTTCTAGTAAAGTGATAGATTATTAAGTATTTTCTCATATTTAATGACCTATCCATTATATATACAGACTTTAAGATCACATACAGAAACTTCTGGTCCGGTATATTTTGTATCATCTTCTTTGGTTTCTTCAGGTTTCCCCAAAGTGTCTACTAAGTCATCCAAGGCAGCATCAATGTCTGACTGGAAAAGAAAGCAAGTAGAAATGTTACACATATTTTACTTTGGATTTTTATGAAATAAAACATTTCTGATAGAAACTGCTAAACACTCAAAGTTCTCCAGTACCAAAATAGTTAAAATCTGGTTTCTGACAGACCCTGTTATTTAGAGTACAGATAAAAACATTCCTGTGAAAACAAAATTTTCCTAAGTTAAAAAAGTATTAACTACATGGATAAAATTATGTGCTCATTAAAGCTGCCTCTCTAATGTTCATTACATATATACACACAAAACCATTTTCCTAAAAGTCCTAAAAGTAAAAAATACTTGGTAATTCTTGTTTACCAATGATTTTCCAGAGTAATGTACAAAGAATGGCAATAAAACCTCTGCAGAGCACGATCTCTAAATATCTATTTCAAAAGTGGGTAACCCTGTGTCCTTTCACTTATGTTGGTTCTTATGTGCATTTGTTTCTTGAAGACATCTACAAAACAGCTACGACCAGAAGAGATGTTAAACTTATAAGAAGTGATAATTTACTGTTAACATGGGTTTTCATCAGTATAATGAAGGGAAGTCTGTGCTATTTTTAAAGCTAGGAATGACCCATTGTTGTTGTTGTTTTTGAGTGCCATCAAGTCAAAGGCAACTCATAGTGACCCTATGAACGACGGTCGTCAACACCTGCGTGACTTTCATCCTTTCTCCAGGTTCATAGGGTTTCTGGAGGCAAGCTATTTACAGAAGTGGATGCCACTCCTGCTTCCAAGCTTGTTTTAATCGGGGAGCGCCACCAAACACTGTCCACCTGGGAAATCATTCTCACATTTGACACATCAGTGTCACAGTGTTCAGCTTCAAAGAGTATTATTTTATTCAGATTAAAATAAAAGCTTAAAATGTTGCCTTGTTGTGAAGATTTACTTCTTGGCAACATTCTGCACTAATTTTGGTGTTTGCTGTATTCATATCAGCCATAATCATACATTGGTAAAAGAATTTGTGATCTGTTAATTATCTTTAGACTTTGTCCATTTGTAAGTTACAGAAATAGAGCAGCTTACTATTCTTTGGTAATACCTCTCGCTGAAGAAGGTATATTTTCTTGAGAGAAAACTACAATGTCAATTCCATGGTTAACTACTTGAGTTTGTATAACTTAAGTTTATAATACAAACAGTACATCATGCATGTAAGAAAATCAAATAAATCCATCATATTAGCTTCAAATAGTATTTCTTGTAGTGACAAATACAGTTGTGGTTAGGTGACATGACTGATGGTGACCCTATGAACAACAGATTTGAACTCTGTCCTATCCTGTCACATGAGCCCATTGTGGCAGTCACCATGTCAATCCACCTGGACTAAAGTTTTCCTCTCCTTCACCAACACTCTACCTTTCTGAGCATCCTTTCCCTCTCTAAGGAATAGCCCCTCCTAGCAACATACCTAAGTATTTAAGTATGTGAGGTAAAACGTCATCATCTTTGCCTCCAAAGAGCACTCTGGCTGCACTCTTTCCAAGATACACTTGTTTGTTCTTTTGGCAGTCCATGGGATATTCAGCACTTTTCTCCAACACCACAGCTCAAAGGCATCAGTCTTCTGCATCTTTATTCATAGTCCAGCTATTAGAAGCATAGCAGGTGTTTGGAAAGACCATACACTGAATTAGCCACACCTTAGCCCTCAAACTAACACCATTACTCCTCAATAATTTGGAGAGGTCCCTACCTTCAGACTGGCCAGGTAATTGTCCTCCAAATTTCCTAACATAGACTGGTGAGCACATCCAATGCTCCATCCGTTAATACAAACAAGCCAATTGGTATCCCATCGACTCCTGGGGCCTTATTTTTTGCTATTGCCTTCAATGCAGCTTCCACTTCCTCCTTAACTACCATTGGCTCCTGCTCAGTCAGTTCTTTTTGATACAGTCATTCTGTATATTCCATCTTCTTTTGATGCTTTCTGCATCATTTTGCATCCTTAAATATTGCAACTCAAGCCTTAAATTTGTTTTTCACTTCTCTCAGCCTAAGAAATGCAGAGCAAGTTCTTCCCAATTCCAGTTCTCTGCACTTTCCATAATAATAATTCGCTTCATCTTCTTGAGCTGCCCTTTGAAATCTTCTGTTCATCTCTTTCACTTCAGCATGTTTCCCCTTTGTTTTGGCTTCCTGACACTCTAGCACAATTTTTACAGTCTCTCTGACATCCATTTTGGTGTTTTTTTTCTCTTCTGTCTTTATAACGACCTTCTTTCTTCATGGATGATATTCTTGATATCATCCCATAACACATCTGGTTTTTGATAACTGATGTTCAATGATTTAAACCTATTCTTAAAATAATCTTGAAATTCAGATGGAATATATTTAAGATTATATCTTGGTTCTTGCAGACTTATTTTAATTTTCTTTGTCCTCAATTTGAACTTGCACATGAGTAACTGATTTTTTGACCCATAGTCTACCCCTGGCCTAGTTTTGACTACTGATACTGAATTTCTCCAACAATTCCTTTCACAGATATAGCAAATCTGATTCCTATGTAGCCCATCAGGTGAGGTCCATGTATAAAGTCATTGTTTGTGTCTTTTTAAAAAATACATTTGCAATGAATAAATCAGTGAAAATACAAAATTTTCCAGACTCATTTCTATCACCAAACCCATATTTTCTGAAGATCTTCACCACTGGGCCAATTGGCAGCATCATGATAGATGGAGACAAAATTGAGGTTGTTACAATTACAGCTTGCTTGGTTCCATAATCAACAAGACTCTTGGTACCAGCAGTCAGGAAATCAAAAAATGAATTGCACTGGGAAAATCTGTCAGGATGTCTCCAGAGTACTGAGAAGCAACAATGTAAGTCTAGAGACTATGGTGCACCTGATCCAGGCCATGATCTTAGCAATTAATCACTATGTATTAGGGATCTGGACAATGACTAACGATGACAGAAGAAGAATTCACGCCCTTGAGCTGTAGTGCTGGAGAAGAGTCTTGAAAATAACATGAATGGCCAAGAAAACAAATAGGTCTGTCTCAAAGAGTATGAAACCAAGTTTCTCCTTGGAAGCTAGGATTTTGAAGCTCTATCTCACATACTATGGGCACATGGCCAGGATGTACCAGCCCTTGGAGAAGAACATCATGCTTGGAAGGGTAGAGGGACAGGCGCAGGAGAGGAAGATTCCAGATGAGATGGGTTGACAATAATTGAGGCAATGGGGGGAAGTGTGTTGGAGTCAGTGAGACTGGCTCAGGACAGGGCAGGCTTCAGAGCTGTTGTACACAGGGTTGCTATGAATTGCAGGCAATGTGATGGCACATAACAACAACAACATTCCTTCTTCACTGTTTCCAACTATCGCATTTCAGTCATCAATTAGGATTAACTCATCCTGAGTGCATGTTTGGTCAATTTCAGACTGCAAAATTTGGTAAAAATTTTCAATTTCTTCCTCTTTGGCTCTAGATGTAGGAGCATTTATTTGAATAACAGCGATATCAACAGGCCTTCCTTATGTATGTATGGATAACATCATATCATTCATAATATATAGTATTTCAGGATAGAACTTGAAATTGACTTTTTTACTATGGCCATTCTTCTTCTGCTTTTCATTCCAAGCTTAGCAGATATGATTGTCTGATTCAATGTGGCCAAAGCTAGTCCCTCATCTCACGAATGCCTAGAATGCCAATGTTCATGCATTTCACATCATTTTTCAAAATGTCTTGTTTTCCGACATTCAAGCTACATACATTCTATGTTCCAATTATTAAATGATGTTTGCCATTATTTTTCCTCATTTCGACTGATTCTAACCTGGATTCTATCACTACTACTGTAACTATCCGCATTTCTCTACTGTTCACAGGGTTGTTAGAAGCCTGTTATTTAAGAAGTGGAGGGCCAATTCTGCTTCATAGTCTGTCTTCATTTGGGAGCTCTGCTAAAACCTGTCTACCATAGGTAACACTGTGGCATCTGACACACCCGTGGCATAGCTTTCAGTATGACAGCAACCCACAAGTTATTTCAGTACAGCAAACTGGTAGAGAAGTGCTGTCCCAATTAGAACAATCTTCTCTCCAAACACAGCAAACTGATAATTTAGTTCATAATTATTAATAAGTGGTTGTTGTTGTTGATTGACATCAAGCTGAATGCAACTCATAGCGACCCTATGAACAAAAGTCCTGAGGCCTTTCTATAACTATGTTCATTTCTCAAAGTTCACAGAGTTTCCAGAGGCATGTTATTTAGGAAGTGGATGCTATTCGTGCTTCTAAAAATAACCAGTAAGATGTATATAAAAGTCAAAGGGGGGAAAGGAGGGGGCAGGGAGGCTGAGGGTGGAGGTGGTAAATCACGGGGTCACAGAGTTTTGTGGGAGGAGGGCTAGGGAGAAGGAATAAGGAAAGATCCAGTGGGGATGTGAAAAGATGGGGTAATAATAGGCATAAATGAATGGTGATTAATTTATTAAAACACGTTGTATAGGAATAACTATATGAAACAAACACAACAAACATAAATGACAAACAAGGTATACAAATTTTATGTGCAAACCAATGCAAAATTTAAATAGAAAATGGGTCCTGGATTCTTCATCTACAGGAAATTAGATTATGACAAACACTAAGAATCTATAGTCATTTTTAACTCCCCTTTTACACACTAAGCCAATAATTCACTAAAATCTTATGATGTTGCCTCTGTAACACCTCTGCATCATTCCCCACATGTTCAATCTATCAATATGTATAAATCTAATTTATACAGTCACAATTTATACAGGACGGCTGAGAGGGCCTCTGATCAACCTTCCACCTCTCTGTCTTTGCCTTTTCATCCTTCCCATACTGTCCCTTCAGGCCTCTGAAGCTCTGTTTCACTCGATCTGTTCTCTAGTCCTCAGAGGCTGCCACGTCAGGCTGAATCACATATCTAACTCACCTTGGCGTTCTCACTGGCATTCCATCAACCTGTCTTTCTGGTCTTCTAGAACCACACCCTCACTCACCTGCCCAAGATTTCACCCACACCAGAAAGCCCTCTGTGCCCTGGACACACCATGCTATTTCCCACCTTGATAGATTCGGATGCCTGTAATCCCAGCTATCTCTCCATGCCTAGATCAAACTGGACCTCTAGTTCTTTCAAAGTCTGTGCTGATTTCCCAACTGAGACAGAACCCCTGGATTCCTGATCAAACAGCTTCTGATGAAGCTCTTTCTTTTTAACTCTGAATTACACTCTCAGTTAGTTTGTCTTCTCCTCCACCTCTAAGTGGGCCACTCTGCAGCCAGTGTGTGCAGAGACCACTGCAATTATTTAAATGTCCTAGGTACAGAAAGTGAATGAATGAATGAGGCTTGTGGGGAGAGATGGAAGGCAGGTTTGATGAATCCCTATTTTACAGGGGAAGAATTAAACTAAAGAAAAGCTGGCCATGAATTCCAGTGCAAATCAACACACAACAGAATTGTATACAAGCCTCTTTTACTATTATCACTGGTGGCACTAGTTCATTAAGCTCAACCAAAAGTGGTAAGAAGCTGTCCTGCAATCACAAGAGAACATAGCCGGTGTCCACCAGCCGCTCGATGGGAGAAGGATGGGCACTCTCCTCCTGTGTGAATAAATGCCCCTCGAAACCTGCCAGAGGGTCAGCTATGTGTCGGTTAAGACTCAAGGGTACACAGCAACATACAACATTTAGATTGTTCTAATATATCTAGGTCTCTGCCTCAAGTGGATCCATTTTTTTAAAAAAGTGGATTTATTTTTAAAAGTATTTCATCAAAGTACTTCTCATCACAGAAGAGAGAAAGGTGCTTCCATGGGGTGGAGGGTAAGGCAGTGCAGGAGTGGTCTGTTGCTAGAAAAAAAAATCAAGTATTCCACTTTAAGTTTATGAAAAGAATGCCTTTACTCCACAGGTTCTCACTATTAGTTTGGATAAAAACCAAAGTGTCTCCTCCTAAAAAAAAAAAAAGCTAGGAAAAAAAACTGTTGTTCTAGGAAAAGTGTCATATATTTCCTTTCATAACTTTCTTTTCTTGATGTATGATGAAAAGTCAGTGAAGGAGAGGAAGACACCCCTTGCCCCCCACTGAAATGCATTGAGACAGGGATATCTGCAATGGGCTCTCATGTGTCAGAGATGATTATGATGGCACAGGACAGGGCAGGGGTCAGGTCTGTTGTTCAGAGGGTTGCTTTGAGTCATACAAGAGACTCGAGGGCACCTAACAACAACATAACTTTCTTTAACACCTAGCCTGCAGGAGATTACCCTCCCCGTTTTGGAAACCCAGGATATAAACAGTGATATAAATAGTTATTACTGTTCTTTTTTCTATGTTCATCTCCATTTTCTTATTTCAGCTAATTGTTACTTGAATTGCTTACTTGGGGAAAGGCTTAATAGCATTTCTGGGGGAGATATGACCTCTAAATTGATTATCGTGTGGTGGTGGTGGTGGTGGATGTCACTGAGGAAGTTCTAACTCATAGCAACCCTGTGAACAAAAGAAGGGAATCTTTTCTGACCCTGCAACATCTTCACAGTGCTCGCTATGCTTAAGTGCAGTGCTGCAGTCACTGTGTCAGGCCCTGTATCTCACTGAGGATCTTTTCCTTCTGTGGGAAGAAAAGCTACATTACTTCTCTGTGTATTCTTGGGCTAGTATATAAGCAGACCATTAAACAATTTAAAGGAGACTCACTACAATTAGCACGGCACACCCATTCGCCTTCCGAGAAGGTCTGCTATGTCTTTTCTGAAAACCTCCTTTGTCTATTCACGTAAATGCATGATTTACTTGCGTCAAAATATCCGGTGCTGATATTGAATGCTGAGAGTAATGTTTATTCAATTGCTAATGGAAAATTTATTTGCTTCAGTTCAAACTCATAAATTTCAAAGGCAGACTCTGTATCAACTCATATTTTCATTTTCTTGGCATGAGCACCAGGCCAAATATATATGACAAGTGCTGATACAGTATTTTTTAAATTAGTAAATTCAAAATCATTTTGGATGCTACTCCATTCACTTTATATCCCCCAAAAGCATGCTTTTCTTCACAAAAAGCCACACACAAAAAAGAGGAATTGAGTGTGATTTCACTGGAACCCTAAATGTTAGTGAGAATGGACGGAGATCGTGGGAGGTAAGGACTTCACCATGCACACAGTTCTGGTAAGGGAGGCACTGTCAGCACAGAGGCCCATCCTCCTTTGCATCTGTATCTATACTTACCTTGTCCTTTGGTTTGTCAGATGTCACAGTTACACCAGCAACCAGACTCTGTGCACTGTCACCTGTGTTCTTTGATTTAGTCTAAGAATAAGAATGAGAGAATGACATGATTAAGTATCTCTGGATGATGACTCTGGAGACTACGAGTTTCAAATGTCACTAGCAACTGCTAGTTTACCCTGGTGGTAAATGATAGTGAAATGACTACCATCTACCACGCAAGAGGCAATGCTGGGCACCATAAACGCTGGATTTAAGTGTCCATGTATGTAGCAAAAAAAGAAGTGGGGTCAGTCATGGACTATGGTACACTGGAGACCATAAACTAGATATAAAGGCTCTAGTCAACTGAATTGATTGTTCCCAAATATTCTGACTAGGTTATATGAGAAATGTGCACTTTAGCTCAAATAGTCTGACTTTAATTATTGGAACCCAATTAAAAATTATTTTTAATACTGTAAGACAACAAAATACCCATGTGGCCAGATTTAACTGGTGGGCCACAAATCTGTGATCTTTGATATAAAATATAAATTTGAGCAGAATTAGTTCTTGTCTTACAAGAGCTCACCATGAACGACATGTTCTTCTCAGAAGTATTTTCCTAAAAGTAGATCATCATCTGTAATAAAATGATCCTATTTCTGATTTGAGGTTGTGTAGGTTCATTAATTCCACAACAACATTATTTATTTTTTCTTAAATGAATGAGGTAGTGTATGCAGGGCACCCGTGTAGGTACAGCCGTGTGGAGAGGGATCTAGAAGGCAGCTCTAAGCTAAATTCTCCTGACCATGAGGAACCAGAGCTGCCTACTTGGCGGTCATGGCTGGCCACAGCTGCACGAGGGAGAGGGCTGGGTCATATACCCCTGGACTACTGCAGCCCGCTCAGGTTTCTATAGAGCATGAATTTCTACAAGAGTGTTTTCCAAACCTCAAAACTAGTAGATCTACATTATCATACACAATATATGAAGTACAGCCCCAGAGATTCAAACACAAAAACAGATATGAATAAAAGAGACCAAATCTATTGATGTCAAGTTAATCCCAACTCATGGAGACACTAGAGATAGAACTGCTTCACAATGTTTCCAAGGTTTCAAATATTTATGGAAACAGATTGCCATATTTTCCCAACCATGGTGCAGTTATTGAATTTGAACCGTTGACCTTTCTATTAGCAGCCCAATACTTAACATACTGTGCCATAATGGGTTCTTGGAAATGTGAATTAAGTGCTGCCAGGTTGAGTATGACTCACAGTGAACCAACGAACAATAGATCTGAAGCCTGTACTATCTTCCTCAATTCTGACAAGCTTGAGTTCACTGCTGCTGACTCTGTGTCAATCCATCTTCTTGAGGGTCTTACTCTCTTTTGCCGTCCCTCCACTTTTCCAAGCATGATATCCCTTTCCAAGGAAAACAGGCCCTCTTAAAAACATGCCCAAAGTATGTAAGAGAAAGCTTCATCATCTTTGCCTCCAAGGGGCATTCAGGCTGCATTTTTTCCAAGATGTTTCTCTTTGGGTTTTGTTTTCTTCCCCAATCTATTCAGTGCTCTTCTCTAACACCACAATTTAAAGGCATCAATTCTTCTCCTGTCATCCTTACTCACTGTCCAGTTCTCAGATGAAAACATAGCAAGTAATTAAAAAGAGCACGGTTGAAATCAGGCACACCTATCCTATAAGCTGAAATCACGGCTCTGTAGTATTTTGGAGAGGCTCTTACAAGCAGTCCTTCCCAATGCAACACATCTTTTGATTTCCTGACTTCTAGTACCAAGGGTGTTGATTGGGGATCCAAGTAAGATGAAATCATTGACAACTTGAATTATTTTTCCATCTATAATGATGTTGTCTATTGTCCCAGAAGTAAGAAGTTTTGTCTTCTTGATTTTGAGATACAATTCATATTGAAGGCTGATGATGCCTTTGGCCTTCTGAAGCAAGTGCTTTAAGTACTCCTTACTTTTAGCAAAAAAAAGTTTTGTCATCTGCATAATGTAGGTTGTTTATGAGTCTTCCTATGATCGTGATGCCCCAGTCTTCTTCATAGAGTTCAGCTTCTCAAATGATATGCTTATTGTAAAGATTGAATAGGTATGCAGACAGGATATGGCCCTAACCACTCAGTGTTTCCCTGCTCGGTTCAGACAACTGTTTCTTGATCTAGGCATAGGTTACATATAAGCATAAGTAAAGGTTCTGGAATTCCCACTCTTCTAAATGTTACTCATACTTTGTCATGATCTACACAGTCAAATGCCTTTGCAGAGGCACTAAAACACAGAAAGACATTCTTCTGGCTGGTATTCTCTGTTCTCAGCCAGGATCTATCTCGCATCAGCCATGATATTCCTGGTGCCACATCTCTTCTAAATCTAGCTTAAACTTTTAGCAGTTCCTTGCCAATACGTTACTCCAGCCATTTTTGGATGATCTTCAGCAACATTTTGCTAACATGTGATATTAATGATATTGTTCAGGCATTTCCATACTGTGCTGGATTACCTTTTTGGAGCATCAAAACAAGCATGGATCTCGTCTAGTCAGTTTTCCAGGTAGTTCTTTTCTGAATTTCCTGGCACAGACTGGTGAGCATGTCCACAGCTGCATCTGGTAGTTGAAATATGTCAAATGATTTCTCATAGATTCCTGAGGGTTTATCTTTTGCCAATGCTTTCAATGCAGCTTGAACTTTTCCCTTCATTACTATTGATTCTTTATCATATGCTACTTCCTGAAATGTTTCAGTGTTTACCAACTTTTTGGTACACTAACTCTGTGAATTCTTCCATTAACCATATGAAAAATAAATAGCTGCCACAGAATCAACCATAACTCATGGTGACCCCATGTGTGTCAGAGTAGAACTGTGCTTCCTGGGGATTTCAATGACTGATCTCTTTAAAGGAGATAGTAGACTTTCTTTCAAAGTGTCTCAAGGTGAACTAGAACCTCTGGCCTTTTGGTTGGCAGTTGAGTGCACTAACGGTGTGCACTAACCAAAGACGGCTGGTGACAGTTTTGTTTCTACCAACCTGCTTTATTTACCTTTGGTTCTTTTGACTTTTCACTATGAACATGCTTGTCTCCTGTATCTGATGCAGGTTTGGGCAAGCTTCTTGGCTGAAAGCACAAAGATAAATACGATTGTTGTTACCAAGATAATAATTTTAAGCATAACACTGATGTACTCTGTCGAGTACAAACAGTTCAAAACAGTTATGTTTTGTGTGCTTTTGAATCATGTAAACTTGAATTAGTGTAATAGAAACACATGTTAATGTAATTTCAATTTAGACCCCAAATTGAAAATAAAGCCGTTTCCCCCTAAAATTCAGCAAACTAACTGATTCATAACAACCCTACACTGGGTTTCTGAGACTATAAATATTTAAGGGAGGAAATGACCTCCTGTGGAGAAACTGGTGGATTCAAACAGCTAATGATCTAGTTACCTGGATAGTTATCTAGTTAGCTAGATAGCTGAAACTATCAAGGAGTCGCCTAATTTTCAAAATCTGCGTGTTAAATAAGTTGTAATACCAGATACTGCCACATGATGGTGCCATTTTAGAAAAGAAAAAAAAAGATGCTAGCCATCCTCTGGAGGGTTAGTCTTGAAGGATTACTGTGGAATTATTCCACACAAGGAAAATATTTTCATCTTAAAATAAAAAATCCTAGTGGCGCCCATTTACCTCTTTGTTTTCCTTTGGCTTCTCTTCTTGAAGTTTCTTCTCATGAACCACGGATGGCTGCCAATTTTAGAAAGATAAAAACTAGGTTACTTTCAAGACTTCTGTTTCCAGATTTTCGAAGAGGCTTAAGAACAAAAATTCTAGTTACATAATTCTACTGCTTTTAGGAACAGGAACTCTGCTGGCCTAGTAGTAAGAAGTTGCACTGCAATCGCAAAAGCATGCGGGTTCAAATCCACCAGCTTCTCCATGGCAAAAAGATGGGCAATCTCTTCCCGTGCAATTTACTGTCTCTGAAATCCCACAGGAGGGTCAGCAACGGGTGGATTCTGATGGCACACAACAGCAGCAATCTCTCTTAGGCCAATGCTTTGAGATATGAGAAGCTAGCACGCACTGTAAGGTCAATAGTCATTTGACCAACAGTTATAAAATAGTTATAATTTTTCAAAATCTATGGAGATCTTTCATTAGCTGAAGGTCCAGCAAAAGATTAGTACAATCACTGAATTAGTGTTGGTAGACACTACAAGAAAAGTCAATTTTTAAAAATCATCTTTCACAGAGAATAAAGAATACTGCATTTGAATAGCATTTTTTAAAAGTTCTATGACGTGTATAGTTTAACATTCTCTTGAGATCTTACAATAATCTAAGCATTTAACATGGAGTACAAGACAATTTCCACCACACTCACCCCTCACCGCTTCCTTCACTGAGCAAGACAGAGACCATCCCATCTGTTTGCCAAGGCCCTGGGTCTCCACAGCGACAACAGTGACTCAACTGCCAGCTAGCTGCTGAATTCCTCCCTCCTGCAATTACTATCTTAGGCAGAGAGACAGGAGTGTGCCTTTCAAACTATTAGATAGAATAATAAGCTTCACCATTCACGTAATGACTTCATCTTCAACCACACTTAAAGTCCTCTAGTCAAATAATTTGACTAAACATCTCGGTGCTTTCAAACATAGAAAACCTTGTTTTCTTGTTCTTGTGTGCCGCCTAGTTGAAATTGTCTCGTAACTGACCCTCCACTGGGTTTTCGGAGACAATAAACCTTACAGGAGGAGATTTCCCATCCTTCTCCCACAGAGTAGCAGGTGGGATTGCAGCACAACTTCTTACCATTAGGCTACCAGAGCCGAGTACTCCTTCCACAGGAAGGGGTGGGGAATAGGAGCGGTAGGGAGTTTAGGACCTTATGAGGAGAAATAGCCCTGCCAGAAGACAGCTGGGGAATAGCTTTTTGTCTACAGTCAGGAAACCATTTCCAAGAGAAACACAGCGCTGTCATCTGAGCTAATTAAGACAAACTCAGGTGGAAACCTGAAAATCACTCTATTCATGGGCTGTGTTCAACATACAGATTTTCTTGCTCCATCTTCAAAGTAACTGGATATGCTTCTCATTAGCCTTTGTTCCTCTTGCTTTATTATTTTTTTTTAATTACTATACTTTTTTTTTTTTCAAGGGAGCTCTGGTTTAGTGGTAAGGTGTTGTAACTCAACTGAAATTTACCAGTTTCACCACAGGAGAAAGACGGGACATCTTTTCTCATGTAATTTAATGTCTTTGAAAATTGCTGGAGGGTCAGCTATGAGTTGGTTCTGACTCAATGGTATATAACAACATTTAAAAAGACAAATCTAGATTTGAACAAAATGCCTTCTAAAGTTTACTATTTTATCAGTTAAATATATTCATTTTGATCAAATATAGGAGTCAAGGATTCTGAGGATCTGACATACTCTCGGCATATTGCAAGGAGGGATGAGTCTTCGGAGAGCGACTTGCTTGGAATGGTGGGGAGATGGAGAAAAAGAAGAAGACCCTCAATGAGATGGATTGATTCAGTGACTGGGGGTAGGTATGTCAGAGACAATAAGGTTGGCACGGGACAGAGAAGGTTTCTGGGCTCTTGTACATAGGGTCGCTATGAGTTGCAAGCAACTTGATGGCACATAACAACAATATAGGTTATGTGTTCTATTTTATATACAACCTACATAATTATATTTAAAAGAGTAATTAAAAATGAATTATATTAGCTTACAAATATTTCATAACATTCAGTAGTATCATTCAGTGTAGAAAACTGGTTATTAATTGCTTATTCTTACAAAAAAAAAATACACCAAATGACACAGTAGAGATTTAAATTACTTACCTTAGTTGATTGTGACTTCTTTTCAGGTTCTGTTTTTACATCCTACATTTAGAAAGAAATAAGTAAAAATGACAACGCTTATAAGATAACCAGATTTTTAACAACTAACAAGGAAGCTCAAAAGAGGTCATTTTGATCTAATAAAAACTTTATAAACAGAATTTATTACCCTTTGTTTTGTACTGTAACTCTAGATAAACATTTAAGAAGCCAAACCAACCCACCACCCTTGGCAAATTCCAACTTACAGCAGCCCTCATCAGGTTTCCAAGGCTGTAAATCTTTACGAGAGGAGACCAACCACCTTTCTCCTACAGACTGAGTTGGGAGATTCAAACTGTCAACCTTTGGGTTAGCAGTACCACCTCTGACACACTGTGCCTTGAAGGTTCTTTAGATGAGCATTTAAGTGCAATAGTATTCTTCTCCCAATATGGTGCACAGTGGCTGAGAAGTCAGCTGCCATCCAAAAGGCCTGTGATTAGAACCCACCAGGTTGTTCCACAGGAGAAAGATGTAGCCATCGGTAGCAAAAGTTCCAGCCACAGAGACCCTAATGGGGAAATTGGACTCTGTCATACAGGGTCCTTCTGAGTTGGAACAGACTGATAGCAATAGTAGCATTCTTTTATTACTATTTAGATGGTGATTTACGTATCACTTTTGCTATATGTATCAAAAAGATATAACGAAAATAAACATAGAAGTTAATGCATAAGAAAATAAAAACATCATCCTTTAAAGCCAAGGTGTGTTGTAAAGCCACTAGTGTGTTTATTAATGAAATCTTTGACACAGGTTTCAGCTGACAGTTTGAGGTAATGGGATATGACAGAACAGAGAATGGGATGTGATAGAAAATGGGATGTGATAGAATAGAAGGGACAGAAATACATGGAATTTCTTTTTAGTGCCAAAAGTGTGAGCAATGGTAACCAGAAAGGCCACAATAGGGTCAGGGGTCAGGTGTGGCAGCAGAGTGAGAGTCCTAAGATTAGCATGTGCTGAGCAACTAAAGTGGCCATTAGTAAACAGAGAAGCCCAGAGAATGAACCAGGTTACCTGCTTTTTGTGTCTTTTCTTGCTAGGAGAGAGTGGTTCTTCTATCTGTTCATTGATTAGAATGGTCTAACATTAGAACCAAGCCCCAAAAAGTTTTACCAGAATTGTCTAAAAGTTTATGTGGCAGTCAAATAAATAAAATGTACAGGGCAAATATGTTTATAGTAAGATATTTTCCAGTTCAATCCAATGTGCATAACTAAACAATGCTATAGGTGTGTAAATCCTAAGGTCTCAAATAAGCACTTCAATTTGGGTTTACTTTTTTCCAGAAAAAAAATATTAGTAATATTTTTATTAATAAAACAATTGCATTCCTTCTTCCTTTCCTTTATTTCTCTGTATAAAGGTTGCTTGAGCAAAGATATTTGCCACATAGATTTCTAAAGTTGCTTGTTGCTTGGAATTAAATAAAGTCACCTTTATCAGCTCTTCAAAATTCTGTCAACATAATCACAGAACAAGTTAGTAAATACCTAGTGCATTAATGTTTACTTTGCACACAGTAGTTCTGCAGGTAGAGAGCTAATCTAAAATCTTGGTTGGTTTTTTTTTTTTTTTGCACAGCTTGCTGTAATTCAGAACTTTTTTGTAGTGTTTTACAGAGTTTATCTAGAAAGGTTACTCATGCCAAGAAGAAAATTTCCTTAAATATACACACGCATTCTCAATACAGACAATATATGAAAAACTTTCTAAAACTTCAAAGAAAGACATTAAAAAAAACTAGGCCTAATGCTTCCTGATTTTCACAGATGATACTGAGCTTCTCTGATGATTCTTTCCACAGGTGATGTCTGTGTAGATTATTAGGTGAAATTGTGTAGTTGCCATTTATGTTTCTTATAAAAGGTATCTGCAATCAATTAAGTCATTGATAGTACAAAATTCTATCATTCTATCTCCAGCCGCATTTCTGTCACAAGTCCTTGTTTTCCAACAACTGACCCTTTCTTCCTTGTCCCCAACTTTTGCATTCCAGTCACTCACTATCATTAATGCTTCTTAGTTGCATTTCAATTTCTGACTGCAAAAGTAGGTAAAAATCTACTTCCTTCTCTTTGGCTCTGGTTTTTGGTGCATATTTCTGAATGACTGTGATATTAACAGGTCTTCCTTGTATGTATATGGATATTATCCTGTCATTCAGAACAAGACAGATCTAGAAATGGTCTGAAAGCAGAGAGTACCTGGAGAATGTCTACTTGTTTTATTGACTATGCACAGGCATTTGACTGCATGGATCACAACAAATGATGGCTAACATTGAGAAGAATGAAAATCCCAAAATACCTAAATGTGCTCCAGTGAAACCTATACTTAGACCACAAGCAGTTGTCAGAATAGAGCAAAGAAACCACTGTGCATTGTTCAAAATCAGTAAAGGAGTGTGTTAGGGATATGTCCTGTCTCCGCACATTTTCAATCTATATGCAAAACAGATCATTAAGGAGGCTGGACTTTAAGAATGAGAATGTGGTATCAGGATTGGAGGAAGCCTCATCAACAACCTGAATTATGCAGAAGACACAACCTTGCTTGCTGAAACTGAGGAGGATTTGAAATGTTTGCTACTGAAGGTCAAGGACTGTAGTCTTTAATACTGATTGAAGCTCAACATCAACAAAATGATTCTCACCACTTTAAGCAACTGGCAGCACCATGGTGGCTGGATATTGTTAACAATTTCAGCTCACTTAGTTCTACTATCAACACTGGCACTAGCAGTGAGGAAATCAAAAGATGAGTTGCATTAGGAAAGTCTGCTGTCAGGGACTTCTCCAAAGTACTGAAGAGCAACTGTGTCAGTCTAGAGACTAAGGTCCCCCTGATCCAAGCACAGTCTTCACAATTACTTGCTATGCGCCAGTGAGCTGGACAGCGATTAAGGATGACAGAAGACTTGATTACCTTTGAGTTGTGATGGTAGAGAAGAGTTTTGAACATACAATAGACTGCCAAAAGAACAAACAGGTTTGTCTTGAAGAGAGTTAAACCAAGTTGCTCCTTAGAGGCAAAGATTCTAACGCTCTATCTGACATACTCTGGGCATATTTCCAGGAGGGAACAGTTCTTGGAGAAGGACATCATGCTTGGACGGGTGAAGAGACAGCACAGGAAAGGAAGACCCTGGATGGTATGAACTGACACAGTAACAGGTAATGAGGGTAGGTATGCTGGAGACAGTGAGATTGGCTCCTCAAAGGGCAGAGTTCAGGGTTACTGTGCATAGGGTCGCTATATAGCACTAAACCATGCAATGTTACTTTGCTCTATTCACGTAACAGTCTCTTGTTCTACATACAGTTTTCACAAGAGTGCAATTAAGAGTTCTGGGATTCCCAATCCTCCCAACCTTCTCAATGTTAGCCATAACTTGTTATGATCCACACAATCAAATGCCTTTGTACAGTTAATAAAGATAGACATCTTTCTGGTATTCCCTGCTTTCAGCCAAACTCCACCAGCCATTAGCAATACTATCCCTGGTGTCATAGCCTCTTCTAAATCTAGCTTGAATTTCTGAAGTTCTTTTCTGGTGTACTGTTCTGGCTGGTTTGGGATAATCTTCAGCAAGATTTTGCTTTCATGTTACAGTAATGATACTGCTCAATAATTTCCATATCCTGCTGCATCTCCTTTCTCAGGAATAGGAATCAATATAAATCTCTTATTTCACTTAGTATTATGTTCTTAGAAGCATCCATATTATGCAATGTTTAATGAATTCTTTATTGTATAGTACTCTATAACATAGTACACTATAGTGAATATCCTGTAGACTGGAAAAAACAAACAAACTGATAAGTCTTGGAGAAGGTGCAGTCAGAGTGTTCCTTGGAGCAAAACTACTAGAGTTTCACCTCAATACTCTGGGCATACTCTGTTGCTAGGAGAGGCTATTCATTGGAAAAGGATGGCTTAGGAAGATGGGAGAATAGTGAAAGAGAGGAAGACCATCAACTAGGTAGACTGACATAGCAATGCAGCAATAACCAAAGCAATGGGCTTCAATGTGTCAGAGACTGTGAGGATGGCATAGGCTAGGACAGGGTTCAGATCTGTTGTTCATATGGTTACCATGAGTCGTACTAACTAGATGGCACCCAGCAACAACAATTCCACAGTGTAAATGTTCCTGAGTTCTTTTATCCATTCACCTATTGATAGACAACTGAGTTGTTTCCATCTCTTTGCTATTGTAAAATATGCTTCAATGAACACGAATGAATATTTATATGCATATATCTTCTTACATCATATTTCATTTTTTATATACACTTATTAGTATGAATATTTACACAGTGTACTATGCAACAATGAAAAACAATAAAGGATTCATGAAACACTGCATGCATGAAATAATGGATGTGTCTACAGAACATTATGCTAAGTGAAATAAGTCAGTCACAAAAAAGACAAATACTATATAAGACCACAGTTATAAAAAAGTTTATACACAGGTAGAATCATTCTTGGATGGTTACCAAGGATGATAAGGGAAGAGAATGAGAGTAAAAATTAGTAACTAGGTAAGAGACATATATGAATACAGGTGGTGGGAAAGATAATATCCAGTAAGGGAACGAAAAGCATAATATCACTAAAGAAAAGGAAGACACAGAAAAGTATAGGAGAATTAATGGAAATCAGAATTAGAGGGGGAAAGTACAGAATGTGTATGAATCTTGTTGTTATTATGTGCCATCGAGTTGCCTGCGAATCATAGTGACCCTATGTCGACAACAGCCCTAAATCCTGCTCTATTTTGTGCCAATCTCACTGTCTCTGACACATCTACTGCCATTACCCAGTCACTGAATCAATCCATCTCATAGAGGGTCTTCCTCTCCTGCACTATCCTTCCACCCTCCCAAGCATGATGTCCCTCTCCAAGGACTGGTCCCTTCTTGCAACATGCCCAAAGTATGTCAGACAAAGCTTCAGAATCCTTGCCTCCAAGGGGCAGCCCGGTTTAACCCTCTCTAAGACAAAGCTGTTTGTTTTTTTAGAAGTCCATGGTATACTCAATACTCTTCTCCAGCACCACAGCTCAAAGGCATCAATTCTCCTTCGGTGCTCCTTGGTCATTGTCCAACTCTCTGATGTATAACAAGTGATTGTGAAGACCATAGCCTGTATCAGACACACCTTAGTCTCCAGACTGACACCATTGCTCTTCAGTACTTTGGAGAGGTCCTTAACAGCAGACTTTCCCATTGCAACACATCTTTTAATTTCTTGGCTACTGGTGCCAAGAGTGTTGACTGTGGAGCCAGGCAAACGTTGTTAACAATCACAATCTCGTCACCATCCATTCTGATGTAGCCAATTGGCCCAGTGATGAGAATTTTTGTTTTCTGGATATTGAGCCTCAACCTATATTGAGGGCAGCAGTCCTTGACCTTCTCCAGCAAACGTGTCAGGCCCTCCTCAGTTTCAGCAAGCAGGGTTGTGTCATCTGCATAACACAGATTGTTGATGAATCTTCCTCCAATGGTGATCCCAATCCTCCCAACCTTCTCAATGTTAGCCATAACTTGTTATGATCCACACAATCAAATGCCTTTGTACAGTTAATAAAGATAGACATCTTTCTGGTATTCCCTGCTTTCAGCCAAGCTCCACCAGCCATTAGCAATACTATCCCTGGTGTCATAGCCTCTTCTAAGTCCAGCTTGAATTTCTGAAGTTCTTTTCTGGTGTACTGTTCTGGCTGGTTTGGGATAATCTTCAGCAGGATCTTGCTTGCATGTGATAGTAATGATACTGTTTGATAATTTCCACACTCTGTTGTATCCTCTTTCTTTGGAATGGAAACAAATATAGATCTCTTCCAGTCAGTTGGCCAAGTGGTTGTTCTCCAGATTTCATGACACAACTTGGTAAGCACATCCAGGGCAGCATCTGTTAGTGGAAATATATCAATTGGTATACCATCAATTCCTGGGGCCTTATTTTTTGCCAATTCCTTCAAAACAGCTTGAACTTCTTTCTTCATCACCATAGGCTCTTGCTCATATGTTGTTTCATGAAATTCTTCTACGTCTGCCAATTCCTTTCGGTACAGTGACTCTGTATACTCTTTCCATATGCTTTTAATAATTCCTGGATCATTTAATATTCTGCCCAAAGCATCCTTAAGTATAGCAACTCGAGGTTTAAATTTGTTCTTCAGTTCTTTGAGCTTAAGAAATAGTGAGTGAGTTTAGAGCTTTTGATTTTCTGACTCTAGCTCCTTGGATATTTCATTGTAATATTTTCCTTTGTGTATGAACAGTTGGGTGAAATATTAATTTGCCTTGTAATCCTTCACTCAAATTAGAAATAAAAATATGAAATTATACTAACAGGACAACACTTTTGGCACCAGCAGTCATGAAACCAAAATTTTTTTAATAAAAATTTTGTTATGAGGTAAATACTGCTGTCAGGGACCTTTTCAGAGTACTGAGAAGCAACAATATCAGTCTAGAGACTAAGGTGCGCCTAATCCAGGTCAGGGTCTTCACAGTTACTTGCAATGCATCAGAAAGCTGAAATATGACTAAGGATGACAGAAGAAGAATTGATGCCTTTGAGTTGTGGTGCTGGAGAAGAGTCTTGAATATGCCATGGTCCACCAAAAGAACAAATAGGTCTGTCCTGGAGAGGGTGAAATCAAAGTTCTCCTTATAGGCTAGGATTCTGAAGCTCTGTCTCACATACTTTGGGCATGTGGCCAGGAGGAATGGTTCTTGGGAAAGTACAATATGCTTGGAAGGGTGGAGACAGCAGAGGAAAGGAAGACCCCTGCATGAGATGGAGTGATACAGTAACTAGGGTAATGGGAGTATACTTGTTGCAGTCAGTGAGACTGGCTTCAGACAGAGCAGGCTTCAGAGCTGTTACTGTACATAAGGTTACTATGAGTCACAAGCAACCTGATGGCACATAACAACAACATTAAGAATGAATTTAAATATAAAATACCAAAAGAAGATAACAAAATCTTTTATTAAAAAATAAATTAAAAACAACAATGAATGGAAACTTTCATTTATGAGAGTCTGAATTTGGATAGTGTTAAGATATTTACAAGTTCCTTGAAAAAACAATTTAAACTTAACAGTACTAAATTATGTTGTCATGTTACTTGGGATAGGATCTTATTAGGATGTTAAAGGAATATAAATGGAAAGCAAGAAGCAAAAGAAGGCTGATGACTTTAAGCAGAGTAATAATGTAGTAATAATAATGAATTTGGGATGGCTCATAAAGGCATAAAGAATATTGTCTCATATGTGTTAGTTAAGAGTTCTTTGAAAATGTTCCCTCTTTAATCCCACCCCAGAATATTCTCCCCAAAAGGAGCTTAAGACATTGTAACCAAGGCATAGGGCTTAAAATAGTTAGCTTGCTATCAACTAGATCTCCCCTGTGTGACAATCTTATCAAGAAGACATTATTTTTTTTTCTTTTGGAATCACAAGAAAAGATTATTAGAATAAATCCCCAAATGAGCTCAACAAGGATTATCAAGAAAATGCTGTTTTTATGATTTCTTCTTTCTATGTTCATGGCAAGAAGCTGCACTGCAATCCCAAAGGCAAGTGGTTCAAATCCACCAGCTAGCTGTTCCTCGGGAGAAGGAATCACAATCTTCTCCTGTGCGATTAACTGTCTCTGAAAAGCAACTGGAGGGTCAGCTGTGTTGGTTTTAACTTTGCAGCACACAAGAGCAACAACATCAACATAGTGAGTTAGTGTAACTTTTCTTCCTCCTCAGTTTTTTAAATGGCAAGAACAATAGAATCATTTTTATCAAGAAGTTAATATATATTCTTTTTCAACCAAAAGAAATGTACTCAAGATAAAAAGTCCTGATAAAAACCTCCATTAATTTAAAACTAGAAAAATCCTAAGTGAATACTGTTTTCCAGATGTTCTAAAAATAATGTAAGCAAGTATAGGTGATCTGTGAGGTAAATACTGGGATTAGAAGATCCCTCCCGAAAAAGTTAGGAAGAAACTGTTTACTCTCGTAACTGAGTTTCCTCAAATACCAAACTTTTTTGTCAGCAATTACTCTATCTATGATTTGAAGCAGAAAAGAATAAACTAAAGTAGCATTCATTCAAGTTAACTATTGAAGGTTATTCATACCTTGGCTTCTGTGGGATTCATACTGGAAGGTTTGCTGGTTGCAACAGAGGAGGCTGACATCTAGAGAGAAAACAGAAAATAAATTGTATTTACCCTGTAAATTACACTGTCTGTAGCTCCATAAATTATCTCATAAACGATGTCTGTTGTTTAACTGTTCTATAAACTATGTTGTTCTTTAAATTCCATGTGCTGTGGGGAGACTTGCTGAGCGGCAGTCACTCCTCCACCACTGACAGATGGTGGCTCTGCATGAAGTGAGTCTGCTAACAATCCAATATAAGTCCTCGTCTTCCCATTGTGATTGGAGTGGAATTTACAAAGCATATTGGCTTTTCACTCAATCATGGATATTCATTTTGCTTTATAACATTAATTACAGTACCTATAATGTCTGACCATTCACTTTTTCTATAGGGCCTTTCCCTTCCCTCATCTTAGTAACTTTTTACTATTTGTTAATTCTCACTCCCTTATCCTTCCCTTTTTGAAGCAGGAGTGGCATCCACTTCCTAAACAACATGCCTCTGGAAACTCTATGAACTTTGATAAATGTTGATAGTTACAGAAAGGCTTGAGGCCTTTTGTTCATAATGTTGCTATGAGTCTGCTTGACTCAATGGCAGTCAACAACAATATCCTTCCCTTCCCTTCCTGTCCCTGATAACCATACAACAGTAATTCTGTGTATAAACCTTTCTTCAACTTCTTCTATCAAACTCAGATCTTCCATAAAGAAGAATTCTAAATCTACCACTAAACTACAAATGTCTCACTGAAACCCCATTCTCTCTGACATCTTTTACTTGTTTTCACCTAATTTAGGGCACTAGGTCCTACAAAAGTCCAGGAGTGTGTGCTACCCAGTGGGAGTTGAACATGGGTTTAAATTTTACGTTTGCTACTTGAGGCCTTTTTACAGAGTCCTGCCACGTCACCCAGTCTCCGGAAGGCCTCTGTAAGATGGCCTGATGCAGCAAGCCTAAAATTTAAGATTGAGGGTCAGGTGGAATGTTTGGTTGGTTTTTATTTAAGCCTCTTGTTTAGTGTAAGACATTCTGGAGAGTCCTTGTTTTTAAGGAGAGCCCCTCATCTCTATTTTGGAGACTGGGTGACATGACAGGACTCTGTAAGATGGGTGAGTTTGTTTTGGTTGAGGGTTGGGTGGAATGTCCAGTTGGTTTTTTATTTAAGCCTCTTGTTTAGTGTCAACAGGACATCCTAGAGGGCCCTCGGGCCCCTCATGTTATTGTATTTTGGAGGAACTTTCTTCTAAGTTGTACATAACTCTTCTGTCAATGTGCTGCACTGAGGTAATCTGGATTTGCTGTGATGCTGAACTTGTGCCATTGGGGGGGTCAAGTGCCATAATGGCTGCCCATGGTGGACAGTGTTTGGTGGAGCTCCCAGTTTAAGACAGGTTTGGAAGCAGGAACGGTATCCACTTCCTAAACTACATGTATCTGGAAACTCTATGAACTTGGAGAAATGACGATAGTTATAGAAAGGCTTCAGGTCTTTTGTTCATAGGGTTGCTATGAGTCATGCTCAACTCAAAGGCAATCAACAACAATAACAAACAACAACATCAACAACAACAACAACGTCAGGCCCTGATCTAGAAGAATTGGTGCATTTATGCTGTGGTGTTGGAAAAAAGTACTGAATATAGCATGAACTGCCAAAAGAACAAATGTGTACATGTTATGGAGAAAGCGCAGCCAGAATACTCCCTGGAGGCTGAGGACAAAGCCTTGTCTCACATACTTGTGTGTGTGTGTGTGTGTGTGTGTGTGTGTGTGTGTGTGTGTGTATGTGTCCAATGAAGGCACTTCTAATTATTATAATTTATTCGACTTAATAATTTTGCCCACAACAGAATGAGCCTGTTAATTGTCTCATATACTTTGGGCATGTTGCTAGGAGAGGCTATTTCTTAGGAAGAGACATCATGCTTGGAGAAGTGAAAGGTCAGCCAATCAGAGGATGTCCCTGAGTGAACTGGATCAACACAGTGACAGTAGCAGTAGGCTCAAGAGTGTCAGTGATGATAGGATGGCACAGGATATGACAGAGTTCAGATCTGCTGTTCACACGGTTGCTATGGGTCATACTGGACTTCACGGCACCTAAAAACACCACTTAGAAAACAACCTTGGCCAATTAAATATTCTGAGCTCCAGTTTCATCCATTCTCATTTTGTCTTCAGTAAATAAAAGTTATCTTGTAAGTCTACAGAAATCCCTAGCTGCTGACCAAATAGTTTAAACCAATCAGTTCCCCATGTGAGAAAGAGGTGGCAGTCTGCTTCCATTAGGGTTTATAGCCTTGAAGGCACTATGTAGTACACCTCATAGAGATGCTATGAACAACAGATCTGACCCCTATCTACCCTGTGCTATCCTCATCATCTCTGACACTTGAGCCCACTGCTGCAATCACCATGTCAGTCCATCTCACTGAAGGTCCTCCTTTCTTCTGCTGACTCTATCTTTCTGAACATGATATACCTTTCCAAAGAACAGCCTTTTAGAGTCACATCCCAAAGTACGTGAGACAAAGCTTTGCCATCTATTCAGCTCCTTACAGAGCTGATACAAGCAAGGATGGCAATGACTTTATTTTGCTTGTAAATTTATTTGAAGAATTCTTTCTTGGCATCTGACAAGGCACTGCCATTGAGTCGATGCTGAGTCACAGAGACCTCCGTCAGGTTTCTGAGGCTGTGAATTTTCACAGAAGGAGACTGCCCTTCTTGTTCCCTCAGAACAACTAGTGAATCTGAACCACTGACCTGTTGGTTAGCAACATGTGTAATACCCTCAGAACTCCTCTGTCATCATACGTATAATAAGTGCTCAGCAAATATTATTAGAAATAATATTACTTTATTTAATAATAATTTTTAGAAACAACAAAGATTTTTGAAACTCAATAGATTTGGGCTCAAATCCCAGCTCTGCCTCTTATTAATTAAGTAACTTTGAGTTTTGCTTTGTCAGGTATATAAATGGAAACAATTACAACTCATTTGTAGTGTAGTAATGTGCATAAAATGCCCTGCACATGGTGGTGGTTGTTGTAAAGTGTCATCAAGTCACAGGTGACTCATAGCAACCCTATATGAATGAAAGATCTGAACACTTGTATAACTTTCATCGTTTCTCCACGTTAATAGAGTTTCCGGAGGCATGCTATTGTGGAAGTGGATGCCACTCCTGCTTCTAAGCTTGTTTTAATCGAGGAGCTCCACCAAACACTGTCCACCATTGGTAACCATTATCACATTTACCACATCACAGCAACCATAAATTACCTCTGTACAGCAAATGGACAGACCAGTGGCACATGGTAAGTGCTCATTAAATTTAACTGGTATATCATTCCTCAGATCGTACACAAAATAGAAAAGGCAAGGACATAAACTCTGGGAAGTACATGTGTGAGTTCAAATTGTCCTTCCGTGACAACGGAAGAGAAGGTGGGAGACAGTGTTGCAGAGGAAACGTCACTGTGGTGTCTGTCTCATCTTAGCTTCTCCCTGGTAACAGGAGTAGATGAATGGGATCTGTAGCCATGAAACAATTTTCCTTGGACTTCTCGCAGTTAGTGGACACTACTTCTGCAATCAATTTACCTAAGTGATTTGATTACCTAAGTAGCATGTGTATGTAGTTGGTTGTCTGCATAGTATCAATTGCTCTTCTAGAGCTTGGCTTGAAGGATCTTGGTTAATATTAAGTAGGCAATTATCATCCTTTAAAACTCCAAACCTAGCTCAGTGAACCTCCTTAACATTTGAGTCCATTAGGTATCTGAGCCTTGGGATTCCATCTGGCATATGTTGCCTTCTTAAGTAGCGGACTGTCAGTAAACAGCTGCTGTCCTGCCAACACTCCCTTGAGACGTCCATAATTTGGACTTCACTCTGCTCTAAGCCAGGCCCTGAGTCACTCTGGAGGCTGAGTCACAGAACAGGACAAGCCTGCTGCTCCTGGCACCCGACTCCCAACATGGCAGCTCAGGAGAGTGGGCTGGAGGACACCACACCCACTCCAGGTCATGAACTTATTATATTCACCCTCTTCACCTAATGCAGACCAGGTTAATTCCCAGAGTTAGAGATAAATTGTCAAAATTTATAGATAAAAGTCCAAAGCTTTTATTCTCAAGCATTCTGTGTCATCAACTGGGCACTGCCTCCAGCATACATACAAAACACACTCTTCCTGGTCCTTGGGCCAGGGCACAGAATAGCAGGCTCACTCAAGGCACAGAGAACAGAAGACGTACCAAAAGTTATTTCCCTCATCAAAGGAATGAACAAAAAGATGAAATTTTCACTGAGGACATTTTAAAACAATGCATTTCTATTTTTTTAAAAAATTTCTTTTATTGGTCTCAATAAAATAATACATTTGCATTATATTTCATAGCATATTGTGTGATTTTTTATTATTGTTCAGGGGAGAATTAATCACGGGGTTGCACAATTTGATGAGTGGGGAAGTGAGGGAAATGGGAAGGAACTGGTTGTAAAAACAATGTATTCAAATTTTGTAAACAAACTAGCATAATAAAAACTAAAAAGAAACAAAAACAAAACTATAAAACACAATGCATTTCTGAGAGGCAAGGATGGTGAAATGTCATCACACATACTTTGGGTATACGTCAGAAGCCAGTCCTTGAAAAAAGACCTAATTCTGGGAAAGGTACAGTGTCAGTGAAGGAGATAAAGACTTTCCATAAAATACACTGACACACTGACTATAACAATGAGCGTGATGAGTATGAGAGAAATTAGGAGGATGGTGCAGGGCAGGGCAAGGTTTCTATCTGTTGTTTACAGTGTTTTTGGAAGCTGTAGTTGACTTACTAGTAATCTATCACAATGTCCCCATATTTGTATACTCTATATTTTATTATGACTGGTTATATAGATTTTCATTTAATAGCATGAAGGACCCTATATATCGCAGCTCTGAAGCCTGCCCTGTCCTGAGCAAGTTTTGCAGATTCCAACACACCCACCCCATTGCCCTACTTATTGTATCAATTCATCTCATACAGGCTCTTCCTCTTCTGTGCTATCCCTCCACTCTTCCAAGCATGATGTCCTCCAAGAACTGGTCCTTCCTGGTCATGTGCCCAAAGTATGTGAGATGGAGCTTGAAAATCCTAGCCTCCAAGGAGAATCTTGGTCTCATCCTCTCCAGGACAGAACTATTTGTTCTCCAGGCGGTCCATGGTAGGTTCAAGACTCTGCTCTAGCACCACAACTCAAAGACATCCTCAGTCATCATCCAGCTCTCTGATGCATAGCAAGTAACTGTGAAGCCCATGGGCTGGATTAGGCACATCTTCGTCTCTAGACTCACATTAATGCTTTTCAGTACTCTGGAGAGGTCCTTGACAGCAGACTTTTCCCAATGCAATGAGTCTTTTGAATTCCTGACTGTTGGTGTTAAGAGCGCTGATTGAGGAGCCAAGCAAACTGTAATTGTTAACAACCTCAATTTCTTCTCCATTTATCATAGTGCTGCCAACTGGCCCAGTGGTGACAATCTCTGTCTCTTTTATGTTGAGCTTCAGTTCATGTTGAAGACTATAATCCTTGACTTCTGCAGCAAGCGCTTCAAGTCTTCCTCCCTTTCAGTATGTAAGGTTGTATCATCTGCATAATGTAGTTGTTGATGAGTCTTCCTCCAACCCTGATGCCACACTCCTCCTCATAAAGCCCAGCCTCCTGAATGATCGGTTCCACATATAAATTGTAAAGATATGGAGCCAGGATGCATATCTGACACACTCATTTCTTGATTTTGAGCCACGCAATGTTTCCTTGCTCTGTTCTGAGAACTGCTTCCTGGTACAAGAATAGATTTTGCATTCTCATTCTCCTCAAGGTTAGCCACAATCTGTTGTGATCCACACAGTCAAATGCCTTTGCATAGTCGATGAAACACAGATAGACATTGCTCTGGTTCTCTTTGCTTTCTGCCAAGACCCATGAAAATCATTAAAGAAAATAATTATAAATAAGCTTGAAACCTCTTATAAAGGACATTTAGCCAAAGACGTTGGCCTCGCCTATCCTTTGTTGTTGTTGATTGCCACTGAGTTGAGCATGACTCATAGCGGCCCTATGAACAAAAGGTGCGAAGCCCTTCTGAAACAACTATCAACATTTATCAGAGTTCACAGGGTTTCCAGAGGCACATTATTTAGGAAGTGGATGTCACTCCTGCTTCCAAAACCTTAGATAAAATTTTCTCATGAACGCTTTATCTCATGACTAAGGTGCTAGGTATTTTGAAACTGAAGAAAGATGTTACTTTACAGAGTCTAGAAACAAGGGAAGTACCTTCCTCCTGCCTCTTTTATCAACTGAACTCTAGTTTATAGTGACTTACTAATTTTAGCATGTCTGTAAAAATAAGAACTTTTTACACTTGTTATCTTTGCTATCAGAAAGAATATATTTGTCTTTTAAATTCTTCTGCACTATATAAATTTGTAAGCATGGGCAGAAATAACTTTGGGAATTGAAAAATGTTGACGCATTAATGAACACATTTCTCACCATGTCAGAAAAGAACTTCAGAGATATGCTTGCTTTAGCATCTCTGCTTGAAGTAGATGAGAAAAACTGATGCTCACAGAGGCTGAATGACCCGTCCGAGGTTTACGGAGGCTCGCTGGCTGTGCATCATTATCCAGAACCCGTGTACCTGTACCTGGGACATACTTAATGGCAAGTACTGCACAGGTGCTGGGGACATGTTGGTCAAACTCTTATTATAATAACATATCCCTGCCTCTGTGAAATCAGAGTCTGCCATTGCCAAGTCAGAGGAGACAAAGATGAGAATAATCTCAGAAATAATAACTATGCCTAAAATACTCTTGACAAACCCAACAATGAAAGATAGGCTCAGGAGAGCAGACTAGGGAATCAGAACAAGGGGCGAGTAATTCTGAGGAAGTGACAGTTAATGTGGTGACTGGAAGAGAAGCAGACAAAAGGTTGAGAAGTAGCAGTCCATGGATGAGGATCTCAGAGCTGTGCTTGGCAGACTGCAACCCCAGCCGCCTGATTTTTAGACCAGGGCCCTCTACTGCAGTTTCTGCTATTTGACCCATCCTGTCCATGCAGGAGGCAGCCAGCACCAGAACACAGGAAAACAGGTCATAAGCATCAAAATAGCTACATGAGGTTAGTGTTCTAAACAAGACCTAAGTGAAACTCTTTTCCTTCTCAAATGAGCCATGAACATAACCAATATCTAGAGAACAGATTACTCTATAATTATTTATAATCTTGTGTATTATAATCTTGAGGGAAGGCATAAATAATAACAAAGAACAGAAACGGATATCACCCTTTACAACCCACCCATTTAATAACTGCTATTTGAAAAAGAACTCGAATAGCCTATGTGATGAATTTTTCTGATACCTGGGCAATTCTTCTATACACATCTTATGCATACGGTCACCTGACAGCCTTGTTGAAATGGGAGATTTCGATCCATCTGAGTTGGAATGAAAAATCTCAGCACGGGGATAGAACCTGAATGAAGCGGTTGGGAGCCTTGCCAACCTCAAAGTCTTGCGATGCTGATGGGAGTGAGAGGGCTGAGTGCTCTCACAGGTCATGCAGGCTTGGTTCAGAAATGGCACAGAGGGGGTGGGGCATCGAATGAGTCAGCCGTCTCCTTCCTCCTGCTAAACCTTGCTTCCCCTTCCTGCCCGCTGATGGCAGCCTTCCCATATCCTCCCACCTGCAGCACTGATCACCCGCACACCTGGACCTGCCTCTGTTTTTTGGGGGTTACTAAGCACATCGGCCCTGGTAGCCTAGTGGCAAGAAGCCGAAGGCCCGATTCAAGGCCACCAGATGCTCTGCGGGAGAAAGGTGGGCAATTCCCTCTGCCCCTGAAAACTCCCTGGAGGGTCGGCTATGGGTCAGTTCCAATTCTATGGTAAACAACAACAAGAAGAAGAAACACATCAGCTGCTCTTTCTTCACTTGATGAACTATCCCATCAATAATTTCACTGACTCACTATCTCCTCTCTGCCTAGGCAGTGGGACACTGGGGATCCCAGGCTCTCTCCTCTTCCTCTCTAATTGCTTTCTGTCTGGAAATCTCTCCCACTTGCACTTCACTCCCTAAGTTGTTCAATATTCTGTCTTAAAACCTCTGCTATCTCTCTTATACCATCGCTCCCTCAGAAAGTTGCTCTCTTTCCATGGTTTTAACTATTATTTATTGTGTGAACAACTATCCCTATTTTATTAGCAGTTCAGACTCATAATCATTGCTGTTGAGACAGGAGTGACTCAGAGCTGACCCTCCACTAGGTTTCTGAGACTATAAATTGCTCTGGAGGAGACAGCCCATGTTTCTCCAGAGGAACTGCTTGTAGAGTTGAACCACTCTAGTAGCACAACTCCATATGGAGACTTAAAAACATAAACCTTATCTCTACTATCACCAAACTACATTTAAGCAAGCTCTGAGAAAGTCACAGGCTCTCACACTTATTCTCCCCCTCACTGCCTCCGAGTGAGAACCAACTCTGATCTGGCGTCAGGTTTCTGAGGAGGAAAATCGCATGGAAGGAGATTAAACCTCTAAGGTAATTAATCAACTTCTTGGAGTTGCCATTTGCTCATCTGTAAAATGGAAAAAAAAATACCATCTGGAGTTGCTAGAAGGTCCAAAAGAGAAACGTAATGTAGAGGAATCACCTGGCCCTGAATCACTTAGATTGAGGTACAGTGCTAGTTTCAGCCTGCATCACCTTTCTATAACCACCCACACTGCTAGCCGAAACATGTATCACCTACAGCAGGATAAGACTAGTGTCTTCTAAAAGTTTCCCTGCTTTATGCTTTCCCAAATAGCCAGAGGAGTTGTGGAATGATATAAGGGACATCCTACATGGAAAAACAAACAAACAAAAACCCACAAAAAAAAAAATCTACCTACAAAAGGTCTTTAAAGAGATAGGAAAGAAAGAAAATACCAAACTGGAGGTCTGAAGAGACTCTGAAACTTGCTCTTGAGCAAACAGTAGCTAAAGCTAAAAGGCAGCTCAAGAAAACAAAGTATAATAAAAAGTGCAGACTTGGAGTTAGAAAACCAAGAGAGAAGAATAAACTCACATTTCTTAAGCTGAAAAAAAAAAATAAAGGAAAACAATCAAGCCTGGGGTTGCAATGTTGAACTATCAACACCCATAGAAACTGAAGCCAAGAAAGTAAATGCAGTAATGGGAAAAAGACCTTTTAAGAATCAAAGATGCCATAATAAGGCTGAAGGTGTGCCTGGCCCAACATTAATTTTTAACATTGTTGTTGTTGTGTCCTGTCAAGTCAGAACTGACCCATAGCTGTTCTGCTAAATCCACAGGGGAATACAATTACCTAAAGTTACTAAAGGAGGACTAACTTCCTTTAAAAACAAACAAAAAAAAACCCACAAAACTTGTTTTATTGACTGTGCAAAGGCATTCTTTAAAAAAACATCAAACTGTTTCATTTGTTTCCACTGTTGCAAATTTTCTTCCCCTCTGCCCTCCTCCCTCTTTCATCCCTCCCTGCAATGCACCTCTTGTTCCAGACTGTTGTCATATATACTTCATACACATAACTAATAATATATTCCTTTTGAAGAGAGAATGGGAAAAGAGTGGATAGATAATGAACACTGCATTAGATCAGATGAGTGGAAGAACTGTCCAACAGGACTTGCTTCTTAAGTAAAGAAATATCTCAAATAGTGAGTGAAAATCACAGATGTCTGTTTTAACAAAAATTTTTTCCCCAAAGATTTGAACCACTAGTCATAATGTTAAGCTCTGTGAGGGCAGGGGCCACATCTGTCTAAGTCACTGCTGTGTACCCAGGGTCTGGCATATAGTGGGTGTGTTTTTGTTGTTTACCACCAAGGTGGAATCAACTCCTAGCTGACCCTGCACTGGGTTTTCAGAGGCAGTAAATCTCATGGGAGGAGACTGTCCATCCTTCTCCCTTGGAGTAGCTGATGGATTCAAACTACACATCACTGAGCTGGCAGCACAACTCCTTACCATCAAGTCAGCTGGTAGGTGAGTGAGTAACTGTTAAATAAATACATGAATTTGTACAAGAGTATAATCTGATGGCTTAAAAGCAGTATTATAGTGGGGGTTATTTCACAACATATAACTGGAGATTATGTGCAAAAGTACTGATCAGGGAGAGAAAGGAGAGTGCAAAACAGAATTTCAGATTCTCCTGGAGTCCAGATTTTCCCAAGGCAATAGGGATGGCTGAGCCACTAAAACTGTGGCTCGGGAATGGAGTTTGGACCAAGAATGTGCCCTAAAGTCATTTTAGGGCTAGGCAGTGTTTCGACTTAACTAGTAAAGAATGTCTGCCTTGAGCACCAGACTCTTTTGAGACCTAAATATAAAGGATCAAATTGAGAACAAGAATTTCAAGGATTAAATGGCAATGATGAACGCTGTAGATTAGTGGTAAGGAAAGGGCTGGTCAGAAGGACCTCAAGAGCTGTACAACTGGAGGCCAGGGGCTCTGGTCAATGTCACCAAGCTGCGCACGTGAAAACTCAAATAGGCATATGCTTTGCCACATAAATTCTCAGCAACAACTGCAAATAAACAGAATTGTCAATAGGTGCCTCTGAATCACCTATGACTCATAGTGACCCTATGAGCAACAATCTGAACCTTGCACTACCCTGTATCATCTTCCTGATCTCTGACACACACTGTGTCAATCCACCCTGCTGGGGCTCTTGCTCTCTTTTGCTGACCCTCCACCTATCCCAGCATCACGTCCCTGTCCCAGGACCGGGTCTTCGTGACAACACATCCCAACTATGTGAGATGAAGGTTCCCCATCTGCGACTAAGGAGCACTCTGGTTGCACTGACCCCAGGCTGACTTGTTTGTTCTTTTGGCAATCCGTGGGTGCTCTGTTCTCCAACTCCAAGGCATAGATTCTTCTCCTGTCCTCCTTATTCATTGTCCAACTTTCAGATACGTAAGATATAAATAAAAATACTATGGTTTGGATCAGGTATATCTTAACACTTTCTAAAAAATTTGACAAGAAAAACAAATTCTGTTCAAAATCCTGTTAGAAAACTGACATAATTCCCATCATCAACCAGGAATTATACAACTAAAAAGAAAAAAAAAATACACATGCACAAAACAGTCATGAACTATTTGCTAAACACTGAGCTGCAGAAAAGGCTGGTGATGAGGGTTTTTCCTAAGGAAAGTCCTGCCATTCCTTAGCGAAAACATGGAGACACCAAGGGTGCAGGTTTCCATCTTCCTTTCTATAATGGTGACTCTGTGTATTTAGCTGTTTAAGTTTTAAGTTTGTCCAGTGTTGGTCAAACTGTCATACAATGACAGATAGTCTTCTACTTCATTATCAAGCATAATAGTGGTGCTTTTTTTAAGACCTGAAATATATCTAACAGAGTACACTGAAGTCAGTAAACATGAGAATGAGAAAGGACTGTATTATTTTTCCAGGTCTTTTAAGTTTCCCCCTTTAGACAGAGAACGGTTTTTCTATCACTCATTTTTATGGAAAATTTTTGTGTTTTACTTCTCTGATGGCTTTGCCATACACATGCCCCCTCATTCATAGATTTTACTGTATAGTGTTCCGCCATGTTGTTGTTGTTGTTGTTGTTGTTATGTATCATCAAGTTGGAACTGACTCCTAGCTGACCCTCCCAGAGGTTCTC